TAAATAGAGCAAAATAATTGTATAAAGTAAAGCCATAATTTTGTAAAGCAATGCTCATATAGAGTAAAGCAACACTTATATAGAGTAAAACAAAACTCATATGGAGTAAAGCAACACTCATATAGAGTAATGCAACACTTATATAGAGTAAAGCAACACTCAGAGTATAGCAATACTTATATAGAGTAAAGCAACACTCATATAGAGTAAAGATACACTTATATAGATTAAAGCAACACTCATATATAGTAAAGCAACACTCATATAGAGTAAAGCAACACTTGTATAGAGTAAAGCAACACTCATAGTAAAGCAATATTTATATAGAGTAAAGCAACACTCATATAGAGTTAAGCAATACTTATATAGAGTAAGGCAACACTCATATAGAGTAAAGCAACACTCATATAGAGTAAAACAACACTCATATAGAGTAAAGCAACACTCATATAGAGTAAAGCAACACTTATATAGAGTAAAGCAACACTCAGAGTAAAACAATACTTATAAAGAGTAAAGCAACACTCATATAGGGTAAAACAACACTTATATAGAGTAAAGCAACATTTGTATTAGAGTGAAACACTTATAGTAAAGAATAAAACAACACTCATATAATAGTAAAGCAACACCCATAAAGAGTAAATCAACACTTATATAGAGTAAAGTAACACTCAGAGTAAAGCAATACTTATATAGAGTAAAGTAATACTCACATAGAGTAAAGCAACACTCATATATTTAGTAAAGCAACACTCATTTAGAGTAAAGCAACACTTATATAGAGTAAAGCAACACTTATATAGAGTAAAGCAACACTTATATAGAGTAGAGCACATCAGAGTTAAGCAATACTTATATAAAGTAAAGCCACACTCATAAAGAGTAAAGCAACACTTATATAGAGTAAAATCATTTGTATTAGAGTGAAACACTTATTGTAAAGAGTAAAACAAAAACTGTGTAGAGAAAAGCAACACTCATATATAGTAAAGCAACACTCATATAGAGTAAAGCAACACTTATATAGAGTAAAGCAATACTTATATAGAGTAAAGCACCACTCATATAGAGTTAAGCAACACTTATATAGAGTAAAGCAACATTGGTTTAAGAGTGAACACTTATTGTAAAGGGTAAAACAAAAACTGTATAGAGTAAATAAAGGCGATGATAGTTTACCGATGTTCTCGTAAATCGATTACGAAGAGACAAATCAAGATAGCAAACAAAAATTATAAGGAGCAAACCGGATGTGTCGTTTTAGGTAAGCGTCTCCTACTATGCATGGACTCCACCGAAATGTTACAATCGGAAATAGAACATAGTCGGACAAATTACAAATTAGACTACTATAATTGTATCTGAAGATCTAAGACCGCAAAAATATGACACCGACATATCTAATTCGTGATTGTGATCGTAAATCCTATGAAGTGTCGTTTTCAGTCGTTCTTCCACATAACTCTGCTGGAGCAGTAAATGTGCAAGCAACACTCCCTGTTAATAATCCGTAAAGTGTGAACATGTACGAGCGTAACGTAATAACTATTGAGAAATGGGAAGTTGACAATTGGAAAGTTGAAATCTTAACTTTTGTTATATAGGATTCTAGTTTGAAATCGTCCATCTGTGCCAATATCATATATACAGTAAATTAATGCAGTAACTGTATAGAGTAAAGCAAACATTGATTGTATAAGAATAAAGTAACAATTGACAATTATCAGAGAGATTATGTTGGTGACTTCTGTATAATTTTTATAGCTCAGCTACAATGTAACAAAAATTATACTTACTTTGATCATAGAAATAGTCTGCAGATTCAAACTTTGGTATAAACCCTCCTGCACAAGAGACCGACAACAACAAAATGGAAATGAATAGGAAGTTTCTCATAGTTTATATTTTCTAAAACAAAATAAAAAAAACAATTAATGGAATGACAAAAATTGAACTTGTTTTACATTTAGCTAGAACTTCTAGACAATTTCAGAGCAGACACAACTAATACAAAATCACCTATGTTTTAGATAAGAGACCAAAAAGACTACGGAAACCATTTATATTTTGCAGAGTGAACCCTTGTATGGTATATAAACAATCTCTACAGAGTGAACCCTTGTATGGTATATAAACAATCTCTACGAGGTGAACAATGACGATCGGCTATGAGATGAAAAGTATTGATTTGGTCTGTTGAAGCCTTATGCAACACGAAAAATGAAATGTTATTATTGTAGTTTCTGGCATTGCATTTTAGTGTGGGAATAGTTGTTTTATGTAAAATTTTGAACTTATACAGTGTTTTAAATATTTCTGCAATACCCCTTTGTATCCAAATTTAAATGTCTATGTACATAACTATCAAATTGATTACCTTAAAGACAATTTAAGGGTCAAAATGTTAGTTTCTTAACTTTAGTCTTTTTATAAATTATGTTTTCTTTCTTTAAATGGATGTTAATGTATAGTTCTCATCGACCTAACTGAGCTAAATATTAAGGACCAAGCAGCTAATAGACGTAAACATATCAATGCACACCAGAGGAACACTTGTTGTCATGTCGTTGTCAGTTTTTGATCGACTTATGAGATTTGAATGTTCCATTGCTATTTTGTATTGGTATAAATATGTTCAATGTTCTTCAATGCACCGATTAAGAGTACTCGACATCTAGTAAAGTGCTGGGGGGGGGGGGGGAGTGTCTGCAACGAGGTATGAGCTTTTTCCGTGTTGAAAGCATCGTTGTGACTTTATTTGAGATGAAGAACAGCACAACAATACGTGTGCTTTTTGGTATCGGTAATTTATTTTTATGAATTAAATTGGTATATCCTTTTAAAAGAGAGGCGAAAGATACCAAAATGGACATTCAAACTCATAAGTCCAAAATAAACTGACAACACCATGGCTTAAAAAGAAAAAGACAAACAACAGTACACAAAACACAACATAAAAAAACTTAAGCCTGAGCAACACGAACCCCACTTAAAACTGGGGGTGATATCAGGTGCTCACGAAGGGTAAGCAGATCTTGCTCCACATGTGGCACCCGTCGTGTTGCTCAAGCATGTACAAATCAGGTTATAAGTCTAATTCGTTAGATCACATTCGGGGAAATAGGGACGGGATTGTAGTTACGACAATTGGAACATATCCGTCGTCATCTGAGAAACAGATATTCCATAACAGTCAACCAACTCGTGATGGAGTCCCTCTGCCAAGGAAATCATGACTGGAAATACAAGCCCTGGAATATTGTATCAACTAGGAGATATATACTCCGTATGCAGGCGCTGCTGGAATGTTGCTACATAAAAATAGAAAATTTCTAGATGTTAGTCAAGATATGAGGCAGACTTATCTGTATCTGTCGTATCTTTTATCTCAAGTTCGATGGGATAGTCACCAAACTTTGAATTATTTAGCGAGAGAACATCATTTATATAACGGAAAATGAAGTTAATGAACCAACTCTTTCAATTTGTTTTTCAGTTTGGAATGGGGAATACTAGTGTTAAGTGTAGAAAAGTCAAATGTTTTTAAAATGCTATTGCAAGATGAAAAAGTCTTAGATTGTATGTACTCTAAAAGATCTTTCGATTTCTTTAGTATCCACATCTGATTCACACCAACTCTAGAATAGGTAGTTTCGCAATAACTTTTAAGCCCGGCTTTGATTGATGTTAATAATTTAGAGCGAGGTTTCGTGGAGCACTTTGAAGTCCCATCAATATAACGTTGTTTGTAAGGACGCTTATGTACTTTAGGTATCCAATACAGTTCATCTTTGGTTGAAATTCCAAAGGAACACAGAACAAACCTATGATTATCATGGATTTCCCTCTTTGTCAATGTCGTGGGGGTATGTGTTGAGTTTCCAAGTGAATTGTCAACACCTAATTTATTTATCAATGTAATGTAATGTGATTTACACACACAGTGTAAGTTTCCTCATTGCCGCTTACATGTAGAGTATATGTATCACAGCTGGTTTGCTCACAAAGAACATAGGTCAAAATTAGATCCCACACAAACTTGTGAGTCGGAGTTATATTCTAATGATTTTACAAAGAAAGGATATAAGGTCACCATTATGAAGTCGGTCATTGTAATTCGGTCTAACATATTATCGCAGACATAATCATTTCATTAAATAATTCATTTTTTTTTATTATTGACCCTTAATTATATATTCAAGTGTCAATTTTACGAACAAATAGACTAAACTTTAAAATTAACTTACGTAAAAATAAAGAATTATACCAAATGTACTATACTTCAATGTGTCTTTCAACAAATCAATGTTCATATCCTGACCATATGTACTGCATTATTTTCAAAATATCTTTATATAAATAATTTGCGATGACTTGCATTGTCTTGATGTCGAATGGTCATAATTTTGAATCTTTACTGGCAGGAAATTGAACCATAAGAAAAAAAAGTTATTTTGCATATTTGCCTTTTTTGCTCTGACCTCTGCGTATTACTAATTGAACAATATGGTTGTACTTGATACGTAGGATACTGTGTAAAAAACACGTGGTTCTGGAACTCGGAAAGTAGGCCCGAGTCCAATTTTTTTAGAAAACCAAATAAATGAGCAATAGACCTCAAGAGCATAAGCAACCAAATTTCGTACAATTAAGTAATAGCATTTAAATAGCAACAAACACCTCCAATATCGATGCACTGCGGTACTTATTGCTGAGCGGATGGTTATCTCAAAAGCTAACAGTCCACCAGCAGCGACACAGTGGCATATGTTCAAATATAAACGTATGATATAGATTGAAGTGCGTACAAAACGTCCATTCGTCAGGTAATTACCAAATTAAATCCATTTAACTCGACAAAACGACGCGAAACTAACTATAGAAAACTAATACAATAAAAGTTGAAAAGAAAATAAAATAGAATTTTACTAAAATACCGTAGCGACTTCGAGAATACTTACAGTGCAAACGGAATATAATATTTTGCTTTAGATTACCTGGTCTTTGCAGAATGGTCTGTAGACTTCCAAGAAAACGGACTATTGTCTACTGTTTCAGATTACTGGGTCTTTGTAAGCTGTAGACTTCCAAGTTTAATTTATACATCCTTTTTCCTTTTTCCTTAATAGCATGTTAAATGAAAATACGTGTGTTGTATATTTATATTTGATGAATGAGATGTTTGGATTATAAAATTATCAAATATACGACGAAAAACAAACTTGTTTGTTTATTATGCAATGTTTCAATATTCATATAAAATTTATTTAATGTACTATATAAAACAAGGATACGGGCCTTTGTTCGTGTTTATACTCTAAATCTGGATTCATATTGTATACACGGTGAGCAATAAAAATGATTGATGATTTCGAAGATTGTAATACTGACCCCTGAACGATGCAAATAATTTTTACTGCCATACGACATCATTACAAAAGTGCATTGATCTTAAAAACTAAAATTGTTTCTTTTGTATAAATTAATCACACCAGCTGTATTTGAAACTGCGTAAATTTGATTTGTTTCCTGAAATATTGCGCTATAATGTGAAATCACATTGCGAATATTTTATGACTTACATGGACAACCTTGTAACTTATTGAATTACATACCATCTGAATGGCAATTATAAGGCCTTTTCAAACATAAAATTAGAATAAATGAAGAATGTGTCCATGGGACAGAGACGATGCCCCCGCTTGCACATAATGTTATAAAGGGACATAACACAAGAACGGTAAAAGTGACGCCAACCAAATTCGAACTTGATCTGTGTTTTGTGGTAATTAGCATTGTGTATAAGTTTCATAACATTTGGTTGAGGCAAACTAAAGTTAAAGAACGGAAGCCAATTTCGGAACGTACATAGGGACGGACAAGGGTAACACTTAATGCCCTCCGGTGACGGCGGGGGCATAAAAGTATAAAAATCTATCAACACTGCAATTTGAGTCATCTTTAAATATTTACTATTAAGGTAGATGGGGAAGGGGGGGGGGGGGGGGGGTAAATTAATAACCATAGAATTTTTTAATAATTTGTCAAAATGTAGTTTATATCATGCTTTTTTTCAAAAATATAATAAAAAGTATTATAGGTCACTGGGCTTTTATCACGCTACAGGTTGTGCAAAATTGTCAGATTTTGTATAGATTATGCATGGAAAACCCAATTTTGTGTGATATAAAGAAAACTACACCGTAGAATTTTAAGATAAAATATGAGAAGATAGCTCAAATCATATGCTTTTAGTTAAGAAAAAGAAAAATGGGGCCACCGGGCTCGTTTTCTTGATACATAATGGAATGGGTAAATTCACAACACATTCTTTTATAAATGTTACTGTATCTAAGTTATCTCCCCTTATGTGGCAAAGTTGAAAAAAATGAATCAAACAAACATTTTCTGTTTTTTGTTAAATACAGCCGTAAAATATAATTAAACACATAATCTACTATATTACCATGAAAAGTCTTACACATGAATTACATACTACTCTCGAAATTTGCACATTTCATGAAAGATCTAGACCGACTGTTATCTGCTATTTCAAAATCCAAGATGAAGGAAGACACCCCAGCCACCTTAATACTATTCTGCTTGTTGTTGTTAGTGCTGAAAATACACACCAAGCTGTGACAATTTGGATTTTAGTCAACACTAGTTCAACTGTGAAAGAAATTAAGAGCTCGAGGAAATTGACCCTACATGTTTGCTAAGGACTAGTCTTGCTCATATGATTTAAGGATTTTTATTTAACATGATATCTTATATTTAGTCAAACTACATTTTGTAACCCATTTTCTTACTTTACAACATAAATTGTCCTCATTAAGCCATTATACTTTCTCACTACGTATAAAAAAACAACAACACAAAAATAAAACTCTAAAGTGTTTTAAATAATCCTAGAAGATACAGCACAATTTATAATAAAGTTTATTGTTGAATTTCATAAAATAACAAATGATGAACTCTTATTTTAATTGTTTTCTGCAATGATCAAACAGAGCATATTTTGAAACAGTTTGGCCTATTATCAGATGACGATATCAGATCGATGAAAATCATCCAAAGTTATTATACTAGTAGTAGAGTCTTCTTATATTCGATGTGCCACCAACTCTGCCTAGTCTGTTGTTGTAATTGGTCATGGTATTATAAGACGTGTCTCCTGAAATTATTTTTTAATATTTTCTTAGTAAATACACAATTTGTTTCTGTCATTTCAAGACAAAAGAAAGCTAGTTCAATAAAATCAAGTCGAAATTCAATTTAAAAGGTAATCAAAACTCAGTGCAGTTCAAATTCTTAAGAGTTCAACGTGTATCTTTCTGCCACAACAAACAAAAAGGCATGAGTATTTATTGTAAGATAATCTGAGGTTTTCTCTTTTTTCTTAATATGATCTATGTGAAGAGGTGGTAATTAGTGCTGCAAAACAATTAAAAAAAGGGTACGAACGTCAGATGAAACATAGTTCAATGTAAAACACTTATCGGAGTAAATCGGACTGAGATCTGTTGCATTATTTGCTACGCAAGTGTCACCCGTCATACGAATTTAAAGTCATGTCTAGTAGCAGGAACATGGCTAATGCAGAGCCATGTGATGCCGAATTTAAACTGATGCATTTATTAGAATTTCGATTTTTTTTTCTTTCTCGTCAAGGGTGATCAAAACGAAATATAGAAAATCCGAAAGTATCACGTTTTAAAATTCAAGTACAACAAAGCATAGAAAGCACACACCCACACCAACACACACAAAAGAAAACACACTCGACATCTTCTCACCATTTACAAAGCACTTTGTCGAAAACATAATTATACTTAGAATCAGTAGTCCACAATTATGACAATAAAGTAAAGTACCTGTAGCCATTGATTATTCTAGAATGTAAAGGTAATTTTATAAATTACAATGTTTCAAGCATCACCGTAATTCAGGATTTATCCGACAGGACAGTTGAACAGTGTCGGTTGTTCACGTCTTCTTAAAATGATATTCTCAGCGACATGTAATTCTCTTTTACGGGTGATATTTAATCGTAAACATGGTAAAAACATCGAAGGGTATATGTAATCTTGAATTTTATTAATTTATATTTGTAAGTAAATTGAAATATTTGAATGCGTCAATGACAAAGTATCAACGCATATCAGTGTAAAAGCTCAGTAGAGCTTCTGTCGCTTATGTTGAGGCCCCTCATGGGGTGTCCAAGTAATCACACAATCACAAATTTTTTGCCAATATAATCACATAATATTTTTTTTTTTTAAACAAGATAATCAAATAATCAAAAATACAGTCTTAGATTATCAAATAATGGAATAATCATAAAATATTTGGTCTGGTAATCAAATAATCACTATAAAAACGTCCAAGTAATCACATAATCAAAAACCCCATGAGGAGACTCTATGTGTCAGCATGTCGACGTCCCGACTATAAATGAACCATTTTGTGTTTGTATTTGTATCATATGCCAGCACAAAAGTACTAACAAGCGGGCATATTTACAATCAAGGACTTACAGTTCCCGAACAATGTCATCGACACAATTGTAGCAATGTTACGAGTAATTAGATGTATCATAATCTGTGCATTTCCACAATGCACTTTTAATTTATCATCAGTAGTGCGCGAAACCATATAAACTAATAATAATGTTAAATGGACAAAAATGGACACCATGTTCAAAATTTAAAGACTGCATTTTTATTTCTTTTAGGGAATTGGTTAAGAAATAGAACGACTATAAGCTGGTTGGAAAAAAGTGGTTAAAGCTGCAGTGTAATTAATCAATTATACTTACTCTGGCGAAAGAAGTAGTCCACGGGGTTAAATGACTTCATATTCATTGCCATCATAAAACTGCCATGGCAAAATAACAACAAAAAGATTGAAATTACCACGAAACGTCCCATTCTTTTACCTGCTCTGAAAAGGAAACGTATTATTTTTTAAGAACAATGTAATAACTGTGCAAAAAAAAACATAATGCAAATATAAACTTTATATGATGATTGATTCACATTATATAAAAAAAAAACCACACCATGATGTTCCGCCTGCAGTTTTCATGGTCGTCATTTGGTTTATTGAGGACTTAGTCCGTTGATCCACATTTGTATGGAGTTACATAGCAGAAAAGTTCATTGATCTGAGTAGTATTGCTCTGTTGATCTTGATTTATCGAGAAAAAAAAACATTTCAAAGTCAAATTTTACAGTATTACAATTTGAATAATTCATGTCATATAATATTCAAGTATGTTGAAATATGCAAGTGACAAAATTAAACCGGTTTTTGCATGTCACTTTCACAATATAATATGTTAATAATCAACGAAGGCGTTTTACTCCGGTAGTAGGAAATGTAAACAAGGCCATCCCCAATCTGTTTTGATGGAACATACTATTATATGTTGTTGGCAACAAATTATGCTCAATTCAAGTCGTGATATGAAATTTTCTGACGAGACAAACGAAACAACACACACAAAGAAATAAACATTCAAATACTTAGTCTTGTACATTAAGTATTGACATAAATAGAAATAGAATGACTGGAGGGACATTCGAAAATAATATTCTGTCTCAAACTGTTCACCAAATTATCAAAAGTAAATAATAAAAAGTGAGGATAACAACCTAAATGACATGCTAGATTCAGGACACAGAGTCTTCTGCTTAATTTAGTCTGGTAGTTGGAGAAACGACACACAATAACATGTCTCTTCGTATTATATATGTAGCGTTTGATGCATCTGACAAACACAAAAGGGCATATTGTCACATCATCTAGTTTTCTTAAACAAGGACTTGAAGAGTGATTATACAAAAACCCAAACGAAAGCTTATGACAGATTAGACAATGATCGTCAATTGAAATATCTCATTATAACGGTAAGGGATAAGGCTATAAGTTTGAATATAGTTTGTTCATGCTATTCAGTGAACAATAACTTCTACTTTTAGTTTCGTCGTTTGCTGGTAGCCAAGTAAAAGCGTATGCAAAGATATTGATGATCGTTTTAAATTGTTTTAATTTGTGTTTATTTTGTTTTTAATTTTTCTGAGAATGATGTCATTGAGTGTGTCTCCATTGCTTTACAACGGAAGGTTTAAACTAATTTTGCTGCGTAGCGAAAAATCAAATCTGCTTGTACGCTATTTAAACTTGTAAGATAAGCTGCAACAGTTTTACATCAGCCCCTGAATCATCACCAAGAGAGCAGCACGCATGATGGAGCTAATTTCTCTAGAGAAATATTGCGTGGATCTGTATGATATATAACAAGTATTTAGGGGCATAATAATTTGCGTCATTTTTAAAAATATCAAAATTTATATTTGCGCAAAAACAAAATTTTCATTTGCGCCAACAATTAGTGTTTTCATTTGCGCCATTCTAAAATGACCAGGTAGGACTAATTATATTTTTATAATCAACTGTTACATGGGTTAGTCTTAGGAGTTTATGTTCATGCTACATACATAAATAAGAAGAAGTGGTATGAGTGCCAATGAGACAACTCTCCATCCAAGTTACAATATATAACAATTATAAGTCATTGTACGGCCTTCAACACGGAGCCTTGGCTCACACCGAACAGCAAGCTATAAAGGACCCCAAAATGAACGAGAAACGAGAAACATCTAAACCACACTAACAAACATTCATGAAAGTCCCAACTATGTACTGGCTTCCGAAGCTACACAAATCACCTTACAAATATAGATTTGTCATTGTTCCACTACTAAATTGTCTATTCTACTTACTAGTACACTTGGTACAATCAAAAACCTGATAATGAATTGTTCAAATAAGGCCTTTGAAAATAGTGGAATTAATTACTTTTGGAGTGTCAAAAACTCGTTGGAAGTACTTGATAAATTGCATGCATATATTGGTGATTTTGAATCTGTTCAAAGTTTTGATTTTTCTACCCTATATACCACTTTGCCTCATATTCTTATTAAGAAAAAATTCACACACCTAATTAAATGGGCATTTAAAAAGTCGGAATGCGAATACATATGTTCAAACTCTTTTAGGTCATTTTTAGTAGCAACAAACAAAAGAACTATGTCAATTGGACATGCTTTGATACTATATCTGCCCTTGAATTTTTACTTGATAACATTTTTGTTCGCTTTGGAGATTCCGTATATCGTCAAGTTATCGGAATTCCAATGGGGACTAACTGTGCACCACTTATTGCGGATCTGTTTTTGTATTGTTATGAGTTACAATTTATGACTAAAATCAGCAAAGACCCATCGAAACAACATCTGATACAAAAATTTAACAATACTTTTAGATATTTGGATGATATATTGGCTCTCAATAATAACGACTTCAGTATGTATACTAAAGAAATTTATCCTGTTGAACTTACTTTAAATAAAGCTAATACTAACAATGACCACTGTCCTTTCCTCGATCTTGATATCTATATCATTAACGGGAAGCTTAATACAAAAATTTATGATAAAAGAGATGATTTTTCATTTCCTATCGTTAATTATCCATTTTTAGATGGTGACGTTCCCTTGTCACCATCTTATGGTGTTTATATATCTCAACTTGTACGATTCGCTCGTGTATGTAACAACGTATTAGATTTTAGCGAGAGAAATTTATGTATTACTGAAAAATTATTACACCAGGGTTTTCGATATCATAAACTAGTCAAAACATTTACTAAATTTTATCATCGGTTTTAGGACATCATTCGTGAATATAACTCAACATGCAGACATCTTATACGTTCGGGTATTTCACATCCAATCTTTTATGGTAATATTCTTTACAAAGCACAAAAATGTCAGTATTCACCTCAAAAGCTAACAAAATCTTTAAACAGACTTATTAAGAAGGGATATAGTTACGATACTGTTGTCAGGTCATTAAAGATTGCATATTTTGGCTTTAATATTGATTCACTTATAGGGTCTTTGCATCGGAATTAAACACAAAAACCAGTTGTTGGCATGACACGGGTTATGTTCTTTTCATATATTTTATGACGGTATAATACTAAACCCCTAATAGGAGGGATTGTGCCTGATATTCATATAATGAAGACATAATCTTTCAATCAGTTTAATTGAGGTCTGGAGCTGGCATGTCAGTAACTGCTAGTAGTCTGTTGTTATTTATGTATTATTGTCATTTTGTTTATTTTATTTTGTTTCCTATTCTGACATCGGACTCGAACTTCTCTTATACTGAGTTTTACTGTGCGTACTGTTGTGTGTTTGTTTTTTCTACATTGGCTAGAGGTATAGGGGAAGGGTTGAGATCTCAAAAAACATGTTTAACCCCGCCGCATTTTTGCGCCTGTCCCAAGTCAGGAGCCTCTGGCCTTTGTTAGTCTTGTATCATTTTTAATTTTAGTTTCCTGTGTATAATTTGGAGTTTAGTATGACGTCCATTATCACTGAACTAGTATACATATTTGTTTAGGGGCCAGCTGAAGGACGCCTCCGGGTGCGGGAGTTTCTCGCTGCATTGAAGACCCATTCGGCTGTTGTCTGCTCTATGGTCGGGTTGTTGTCTCTTTGACACATTCCCCATTTCCATTCTCAATTTTATGTATTGATATGCTGGGAGAGCTCATTGTGTTAAACACTTTGGTTAGACATGATTGATCGTTTGTACATGCAACGGAACAAACCGAGGAATAAGTTAATACTATTGATGGATATTCATATCGGCAATAAGAAAAAAAAAGTCTAGAACAGAGAAACTTTGCTTACAATATTTGTATTTGTACTTACAAATACTCTGCCAGAGAGGTTTATGAATAATATTATGTAAATGTAAATATGACATCAACAACTTTGTTGTTACATAGTACACATAATGTTTTAGTAACGATGTTACTAGATTTAGAAATCAAAAATAAAAAGTAATTTTTCGATCTGTTTAAAGTTATTTATTTCTTAAGACGCCTATTTGAATTTGTATTTATTATTTAGCTGAAATCTCATTTTATTCACAATATCAGTCTCGATCCTTTTTACATGTTCATCGGGTTTTTTTTATTTGATTTTGTATACAAGTATACATGCTAAATAGATCATCATGTTGGATAAAATTATGTGCTTGTTTTTATTTTTTAGAGTAAAGGTTTTTTAATACTGTCTTGTGTTAGATAATAGAGTCACCAATATTACATACAATTTGTTCAAATAAATGCCTTGGACAAAATGGATTAATTTGATATGATTTAATGTTATGTGATTTTTTTGTTTCATCATTAAAGTTGAATAATTCTTTGTGCATCTTTGTGCCTGTACGTATTCAAATATTAAAAGTGGATACTAAATACAATTAAACTAAATGACAGACAAAAGAAACACCAAATGTATGATCCTCCATAGTTTTGACGATCGAAGTTTATAAATGAATGCTCTTGAATATAAGACTGTTGGCTATTATCTGTTTTCTTTTCTCTCTCTCTGAAGTTATGTTTCAACTTGGTGCTCCTTCGTACAATTCGTTTCAAAGAAATTAAGACAAGTTATATTTGTTGTATGAATCATAAATCATCTTGTCCGTCCGTACGTCCGTCCAGATGTCCGTCAAAACCCCTTCCAATGCAGCTTGATATGATAATTTATTCACAACAGCTAAAAGGTGTGTCTCGTACGTGCAAGGTAGGTAACCGTACAGTGAAAGTCATGGTCAAAACAAAGACCAGCTAAGTCAAACATGTGAATATATACAACATGATTTCCACTTTTTTAAATGAAAACCCAATTGAGTTGGGCATAAAAACTGGCTTGGCATGATTATTAACCATAACTAAGAGGTGTGTTGGGTAAAGAAAAAACAAGACCGTACAATCATGGTCTAAAACTTTTATCAACTTTCTCACCCTGGTACATTTGTATAAAAGTCGTTTCCGCAATGAAACTTTCCAAATCTTTAGAGTTACGTACTGAAACTTGGCTTGTTTATTCACCATTACTAAAAGTTGTGTCAGGTACTAGTTAGTAAACCGAACATTGCAAATCATGATCAAAATCTTAGTTCAACTTAGCCATCATTGTGCCTAGTACACACATTTGTTTTATCTCTTTATCTTTAAAAGCCTTCGGAGGAAATAAATAAGTGTTGACAAAGGAAATGTCTACCTTACGAGGGTATAAGCTATGTTTAAA